CAAAGAACTATTTGAGGCATACAAGTGAGTCAATTTCTGTGAAGAGGTTTTTTTTCCCTCCTAAAAGAGTTTTTCATTACATGAAATAAAGAGTTGGTCCATGCTTAAAGCTATGGATGCACTTGAGATGTTTGGAGAGCATGAGAGAAGCAAAAGAGTTGCTCGAGCCGCAGCCGTGAGTAACTCCAGTGCATCCAGAGCTCAATTTACGTACAGCTAAACCATGAACCAATTCTTTTAAAACACAGCATGCAGACACAAGTTTTGCTGGAAAATAAGAGTTTTTTATTACAACAGTGTCGGGTTTCCGAGGTGATCGTATTCTACCCGAAACCTACGAATTGAGGAAAAAGCAAAAACAACCAAGAAACATTTCGAGACCAAATCTTTATTACAAGAATCATTCTTTCATTTTTTCATTCTACTCAGAAGCGAAGTAGCTACATGCTCATTGTTGTTATGGATGCACGGCGGTGCGTACATATGAATTTTTACCAAGATAGCTGCTTAGGAATTAGGCAGGACTTGCGCGGGCGCAGTGTCATAACACCAAATGTCACTGCCTTTAGGATCGCTTATCATAAGTTGTTGCATTTAAGGCATACTAAGCTAATAAAATAACGCTTAAAACTTATCTTGAACCTGTCCTCTAGTTTCAACACAGCTCGACTAGCCAAACTCCGCTTTGGCTCAACATCAGTCCTTGTTTACTGCCACATGGGCAATTTTGGGTGTGGTGATGGGGTATGGACAACTGTCATGAAGATTGACGGCAACAAGGTAGGATAGATCGTCACATCTCTTGCTGATGAGCATTACTCATTACCTAGTGGGGAAAAAAGAGGAAAAACAGGGGTGATCACCTTACAAAAGAGGCCTCTATTTCACATTGCTGCTCTCTCTTGCCTCCAAATGATTTTGATTTATATTAAGACGAATTCTAACTCTAACTTTGTAATTAATTTATTCAGGCCACATTTAAATACTACTCGAGCTATTGGTCAGATAAAAATCAATACAACACTGCCGGAGGAGAGACTGGATTTGACTCAGAAGAAACCAAATTGCATACCTACTGGGACACATCCTTCAACAAGATCTGTCTCGGTATGAAAGTTGGCGGCCAGATGCGATTTGTTGCCCTCAACAAGCAGGCTACTTCTCTGCACTCCCTGATCGCTGATGGACATTACCGCGCCACCTCATTGGGTCGTTCCGCCTGGAAGGCACTTATTGGCTCGGAAGCCTCGTTACAGACAAACTGCAACAAGGAAGGATTCAATGCAGGCGGATGTTATGGTGATGGTTGCGCTTTAGTAAGGATCGGTATCGTTTCAAATGAGCAAAATGACTGTAATACATGTGATTCCAGGATTGGATTTGGCGGTGCCGGGAGCCCTGATGATAGTATTACTTGTGGAAATGGTGCGGGATCCAGATAACGGTGACAAGCTCATTAAAACCATGGGTTACATCTTAGTGCAGTGAGAACCCCATTAAATTTTTTTCCGATTGGAGAAATAATATTTATACACTGGAGTGCAGAATTTGTGATGCCGAGTCTTGCGGAATCTAATTTCTTTTGGAAAACTTTGTGAGGAAAGAGTAATTTTGTATTTTCAACTAAGTTGATAACGTAAATTGGGCACCGTAAAGAGTTTAAAAGCTGACGTTTCGCCATTTTTCAGAGCCTTCTAACGAAGGGTTTACGAAAGGCTAACGCTCGAAACGTCAGCTTTTAAATTCTTTACCGTGGCCAATTTACGTTATCAACTTAGTTAATAAAAACTAAATTACCTTGGTATACTCTCCCACCGACGTAGCAACACAGTTTCTTTAGAAACTTACCTACTTTATTTGTAAAAAGAGTAACAGCGAATTCGAGAGTGTATACTACAGGCAGCATACAATTTATATATTCGCAGTTTTCACAAAGCCTATTGTAACACTAACAATGATTAAGTTTAATTGATTTTCCTTGAAAAACTATATTCTTTGAGGGACTTATTCTCTATTAACGTTCTTTGATTGTCAAGCTTTAAGGCTGATGTAATACGATAAATGAGTGATGAATGCCTCTTCCACATACCTTGAAATCTGAAGTACAAAATAAAACGTGATCTTCACAATAGTTGGGACATACATGTACATACGACCTGTCTCTCCCTTGGAAACTGTCTATTCCATGAAGTTTTATCTTAAGCATCCCTTTGTATAAACTTCGACAATGTAAGCGAGGAATTAATGAATGAAAATAAAAGGATCGACAATCCCCGAATAAAAATCGTAAAGTGTGTTGGCGCACTCAAGATGAAAACATGCTTTGAATTACTACAAAAACAATAATAATCCTTGTATAACACCGTAGTTTTTACAACAAAATAATATGACGAACTCAACAAGCAATTCGCAGTTGTTGGTAGGTAATTTTTAGTACTTTATCTTGAATGTCAACGAAAATCATGGCTTTTTTAGATAAACTGTAATAAACACATGGTACGCATAGTAATGATGAAAATTCAAAATTTTTGTTCGATGGTAAGCCAACAGGGGCAGACTACTAGACTGTCTTTTAGTTAAAAGAGAAAACGCATTTTAATCTAAACAACGGCACATAAGTTATCTGACAAAATCAATTAGGATAGGTTTCATAGAAGTTATTACTGGCTGCTGAAATCAATTGTAATGATAATATTTATGGCTTCATGCAAACAAAAAGGATAAACCCCCCGCCTACTTGGTTTTCACCCACTTTGGATAATTTATTTATCTGACCAGAATTGATTTTATTTTTGGTGAACTGACAAGGAACATGTACAAAGTTATGATGAAGAAAAAATTTAGCTGTTGGTCTTAAAAATTCAGGTTGAAGGATTACAAAAGGCGTGCACTGCGTAACTTACGATGTTCTGATATATCATAAGCTATGTTGTCTTTTGCTAGTAGCTTACTGATTTTCCACGGACTCTCTTCCATAATTCCAGCAGCAACCTGTGTTAAAGGTAATTCTTGTTTTCCACAGCTTCCACTGTTGTAGATTACCTCTCTTTTACGACTATTCTTTATTCAAATTTTCATTTAGGCACTTTGTCAGCAATATTCAAAACGATCTCAGGCTTGTTTGGCAAGGTAGCATAATTATTATCAAAACATCCAAAGTTTGATTAACAGATTTAATATTCCTAATGCATTATCGAATGTCTCACTCAAATATTCTTCTATGAATTATGACACAGAGAAAATAGAGCCAACGAAACTTTTTTGAAAAAACAAGCAAAGAAAACATTTTTTTATAACCAAAGCCCTCCTTGCATATACACTTTACATATTTCAATATTTTTTGTAATTTCGAGTATGAAAAAAGACATTTTCCGCGGAGTAACATTGGTAAATAACGCGCCAATCTCTAAATATTATCAATAAAAGGTGAGAAGTTGTACTAGTAAACCGAAAATATTATCTCAACAATTGGAAAATTATGCCCTGGAGGTCTTGCCTTTTGTTTTGAGAGAGGCAATTAAGTTGCCTTCAGTTATTCCAAAAAAGGGTGTATTTTGACGTGGCTAAAGAAGTGATAACAAAAGCTGGTAGGAAGAAAAGCATATAAAATGCTATAGTATTTAAGAGATGTTTCTCCAGAAATCCAAAACTTTCCAACCTGTAAATCGACAGTAAACATTCGGTAATTGAATTTTGGGATATGTTTGTATGGATATCACACTGAGTCCAAAATGTGTATAACTTCTTCATTCAATTCGGAAGTGTAATGGTGGGGGAGAGCGAGGAGGGGCTTGATCTCAACACGGTGTAATAACACATACAGATTTCATATCTATTCCCTTTTGTTTGCGTGTAGCTGTGACGTATGCATCCTATGCATTCGTGAAAAACCAGTTCCATTACCTGGATGCTCCCAGCATTGAGATGTTTATGGTGACTGATGTGTTTGACTGCACGTTTGAATGTCTTCGTCTCCCGTCATGTGTTTCTGTAAATGTGGCGAGCAATAAAGAAGCCCCTGGAAATATTTTTTGCGAGTTGCTGTCTTCTGACAAATACCAAAAGTCTCAGAAGTTTACAGGAAACAAGACTTCGCATCACTTATTTAAAAAGGTAAAGGTTTCAGAAAAACTAGCTGAAAGAAGCCAAATCTTAAGAACGATTGCATGCGCATCTATCAGTGCGTTACTCAAAAAAAAATACTGTTTTTTTTTTATCCTTGATTGTTAAGATTTCAACTGAAACAACAGCCTTTAAAACAAATAGACTAACGAAACAAATTAAAAGTGAACCAACAATATAAAAAGAATACAACGAAACTCAACGAAACAAAACGACTGAATGTTTAACGCTAGACGTACTCAGCTTTTTCTGCCAGACAGCAAGGAGAAGCTATAAAAAATTTTAGCGTTTTTCAGTTTCCAATTTAGAGCCTGTTTTTATGGATTTAAGGGTAAACTAATGAGTCTTTAAGGGAGTAATCAGTCGATCCGTATTATATTTTATTACATCTTGATCACGTTTATATGATAGGTACGTGGGGTACCCGCTTTGGCGGGTTGCCTGGTCTGCCAGGTAGGGTAACCCTGTCAGCTGAGGTCACATTTGTCATGTAAACGTCTCAAGGTGGGGTAATCCGTCTAACTGGGGTCACGTTGATGTTACAATCAAAACCTCGCCAACAACTTTTCGAAACTTCGTCACGGAATCCCGGAGTTGTAAGATTGTAAGTAACACGGGCTAATTCCCAAGCACTCACCTAAATGGGGTCCCCCAACTCCATTTATATAGGCCCTTAGTTGAGTTGCTTCACCAGTAAAAAGCACATACGTTTAAAACATAATCAAACATTCGCATCTCAAGAGGCAATTCATCTATGCCAAGTTCAAACGTGATCACCGAAAACTGTTATTATTTTTCAGTCGCAATGCATTTCCACGCCGTGTCAAAACGGAGGTACATGTTTGGCAAACTATCAGGACGAAACATTCACATGTCATTGTAAAGACGACTTCATTGGAAAACATTGTGAAAACGGTAATGATTTACAACGATGATCTTGCCTGGTGTTTGTTTATTATTATTATTATTATTTTTTGCACTACATTTTTTAGGGAGGGGGGGATGAGTCTTTTCTTTCAATTTTGTTCCCTCGCCAAATGCAATTTTAACTGTTATTTAATCTATTTATTATTATTATTATTATTATTATTATTTGTTATTAAATCTATTCCTATGGATATTGTACATAAACCTATTGGTAATATTACATGTACATTGGTGCTCAGACATGCGATAAATATCTTGGTGTGTTGCAAACGAAATGAGCGAGTACCATATAATTATCAAGTCAAGAAGAAACAATAAATTTATATCTGCAAACAGAAACGTCATGATTTTATTTAAATCAAATGAAGATTTTAAACAAGTTTTGTAAAGAATAAATGCACGTGAAAAGTCAATGGACATGCTTATGATATTCCAGAAAACTAAAAAACTTGATAGGGAACGAAGGTATCTTCTCGTAATAACTCTCATTTTGTTGAAATTTAATGTAGAATCTTCATGTGGATAAAATCAGTTAACATGACAAAATCGCTCTCTTAATCAATACCATTCTAATGAACACACATTAGTTTGGGTATGATGGCCCATACATTACAGCGTTGCACAGAGTCTGTTTAGTTACCGCATATATAAGTTTTTTTCTTTCTTTTTTTGTTTTTTCTAATTTGCTTTTTCGCTTTCCTAATGTTACGTTTTCAATTTCAGGTGCAACGTCTTGCAAACAATTATTTGAGGCATACAAGTAAGTCTAAGGATGCCGTTATTTTTCTTTTACCTCGCCTGAAAAATATATTTTATTTTGCTATGTAGAACACCGGCTGCCTCTATTGGGTCTTAAGAAATAGCACTGAATCGTCTATGTTGGTAGTTAGCATGATAATTTGTTGATAACGTCCATACGAAGCCAAAACCAGAGTTGTATTTTTATAATAAAATTGTTAATTGTTTAACGCTATACTTTCCCAACTTAAAATATATTAGCATGCAACTAATCTTGTAACTGTCTACCAGCTTCAACTCAACTCGAGTGGCCACACTCCGCTTTGGCTTAACATCAGTCTCTGTTTACTGTCACATGAGAGGTTTTGGATGTGGTGATGGGGTGTGGACAACTGTCATGAAGATTGATGGCAGCAAGGTAACTTAAGAGGAAGATTATTTATACTTTTAACATAAACATCAGCACCTAGGAGGAATACAATTCAAACAGCTTTAACGAAGGCTTTTGCTTTTATTCCTTTGAAACCCTATTCTGTATCTGCAGGAACAATTTTACAATGAACCTTCGTTTATTCATTCATTATCCATTTTTTTATCATCATCATTTTCTACAGGAAGTTTAAGGCAGATCAGTTTCTCACAAGCGTAGTTTCTTTGCAGTGTGTAGGTGTCACTAACTTAAATTACTCAAACTGCAATAATTAATTTCGGCGCTAGCTCCTCCAGAAAGGAGCTCACTCAATTCATAACCGCCGTCAATTCCTTTCATCCGGCTCTTAAATATACCTGGGAAATTCCCGACACTTCTTTGGCTTTTCTAGACATCAAAATTTCAATTGAAGGCAACGGTTTATGCATTCGTGTTTACTACAAATCTACAGATTCACATAGTTACTTGTTGTATTCATCTTCACAGCCATCACTCGTCAAGAGCTCCATACCCTTTTAACAGTTTCTCAGACTTCGTCGTTTATGTAGTGACGACTCTGATTTTTCCGAAAAATTTTTAGTCAGGAGTTCATTTCAAACCAATGACTTTCAAATGCGCTCGCTCACTATGCAAAACTTGTTCCATTATTCATATCATAGAGAAAATATCGGGACCCAAAAAGGTCCATTAAGATCACTGATCACTTTACGTGCACCTCCGCCAATGTTATTTACTGCATAACTTGCACTTATTGCAAAAAGTTATACATCGGCGAAACAGGAAGACGACTGGGTGACCGTTTCCGAGAACACCTTCGCAACGTGGAAAGAAATGACAAGGACACAACCAAGCCAGTCGCTAAAGACTTTAATCTCGCTGATCATTCTAAACAGCTTATGGCAGTCTGCGGCCTTTCCTTACATCTAGGGAGTTCGGAAAACCGCAAAACACCAGAATAAAAAAAATTATCTTCCAAATCGGCACCCTTAATCCCCACGGAATCAACGAGCGCTTTTCATTCAACTAATTTATTCCTGTTTTCTCGTCACCATATTCCCACCAATGGCGTAGCTCCACTATCTGCATCTAAACCCACACACAACCCACAATTCCTCCAATCGCTCTGACGAAGGGCTAACGCTCGAAACGTCAGCTTTTTTACCCTTTACGGTGGTTAATTTACGTTTTCAACTCAGTTGTTAACACTGAATTACCTGTTATACTCTCCCACCGACGCAGCATCACAGTTTCTTTAGAAACTTACCCCCTTTCTACAATAATTACTGTTTTGAAACCATTCATACACAAGTGCGTCGCTCTTGTTTGTTTTTCTTATGGATATCATTGTAAGAAGTTTTTGAAATGTGAATCAGTCATCTCAGAATAGAACTATTCAGTAACATCCCGCAAGCGGCATAGAGATCAGTAGATGTACAAGCAGCATTTTCATGCATGAAACCTAAAAATTTTATCCACCTGATACCTCAGTGTTGTTTTAAATATCTTTGTTATAATCAGAGCACCTTCCACTACGACTCAGTCTACTGGGGAAATACAGATGCGTACAATCCTCCTGGAGGAGCGACAGCTTTTGACACGCTGGAGACAAAGATGCCGACGTACTGGAACACACCCTTCACTAAGATCTGTCTCGGTATGAAAACTGCTCGACACATAAACTTCGTCATTATCAACAAGGAGGCCAACTCTTTGTATTCACTGATCGCTGACGGTAGTTATCGCTCCACTTCATTGGGTCGAGACACATGGAAGTCTCTGATTGGATCCCAAGGATCTCTCCAGTCTTACTGTAATAAAGAAGGCTTCAATACAGTATGCGGCAACGCCTGTAGAGCCAGAATCGGTGTTGTCTCTAACAACGAAAACGCCTGCACAACCTGCGACTCTAGAATTGGGTTTGGTGGAGGAGGACGCCCCGAAAACTCCAATACGTGTGGAAACGCAAATAATGACATACGAGCTATGTGTTACATCTTAGTGCAGTAACCTAAACATCTTTCCACCTTAGTAACGACAAACTCTTTCATCAAAGGGAACTAAGTATTATCTTTGCATTTCCTGAGGAAGTACTTAATACCATTTTATGTTACCAATGCTTAGTCCATCCTCAGCACGTCAGCAACGAGGGTTCATAAAGTCACTATTCACAACGGAAATGATAATCTTGAGACAGCTAATGATATTTAATGTTCTTTTACCTCACAACTATAAATAGCAACAACCTTGTTTCTGATTTTAATGCATTCCTTGTAATTTTGTATTATGGTTTTTCGTTTTTGCCTTCGTTTTTGTTTTTGTTTTTGTTTGTTTGTTTGTTTGTTTTTTAATTTATTTCAGCCCCTGGACGTCAGTCCGCTTTATATGAGATAGAAGTAAAGCTTTGTCGTTAGTAAAAAAGGAAGGGGCAGGGGTTACTTTTGGCCCGGCATTTCTGTAGGTCACAACTATATTAATACGAAAGATTGAATATTATTTGTTATCATCTATTTTCTCTCCTTTTCTTTCCTATTTTTAATGGATGTTATATCACCGAGCTAATATGTCATTAAAACCTAACCTCAGCAAAAAATTAAGGAAGGTTCAAACTATATGAGTATTTCTGAAATATATCTATACGTTATATGGAAGTGAAAGATAAACCTAAAAGCAAAGCATAATACAGAAATGATGAGACAGGGCCACTGCACTGCTTGATTCTTAAAGAATGTAACAAGCGTCTGTCACTGTTTGCAAATCTTAAGGCCTCATACACTTAGAAAGCAAAATTTTACCTGGTTATCCAATTCCTTCCTCTCTCAGGCTTGTACAATAAGCTGCTAAAAAGTCACAAAAAACAATTTCATTAGAGCAAAAATATACCATCGAGCCTTTTCCTACAAAAAAAAAACTGACCCTGGTCTCTTACAAGCCATAAGACCATTCAAACATTTAAGAAGTGAAATGGTGTGATAATAAACTAATATTTATAGTAAATATGCCGTAAAAATATTTTAAAGAGTTGATAACAATTTAGAGATCAATGAGGAAAAATATCTGGAACACCAGGCTCGATCCTGGTTGAGTTACAACAGGTACTATATCCGCGGTAAAATATTAAGATGTGTTTAAGAAGCTGAAGTCTCATTATTAGCAGCCCAATTTGTTAGAAAAAGATCACAAATTGCTGATGAATAATTTGGCATAAAATTTTTTTGCCACCAATTTCAATGAAACATAAACGTGTGGGGGCTACTGTCCACCAAACATTACGCGTTTTAATAAAGATTTAACACTTCACTGATATGTTTGGTCAAACTTAGTCTTTCCGTGCGTCATGTCAAAACACATTTCCATCACAAGTATGCTATAGTGTTGTTTAGACATTTTCAAAGAAACCATGAGAGTTTCTTTTTAGTTGGCGATCACTTCATTTATTTTGTAAGGCGAGACAAGATGCTGATCACGACCAGAACATTGGCGTTATAAAACACGGCTTGCGTGACATCACATTTAATTTTCTCATGTTGCATTCGGTTGCGCTCCTACGAAGGACAATCAGTGAGGACACCTGCCGACTTGGTGGTCCAAAACGTTAGCGCACTGCGTTTTCGGGCAAGTCAGTTGTTTGAAGGGCTGGAGAATATCGGTGGATTTTCGAACCGTTTACTTATGAGCACGATGATACAAAAGCGATTCCACACCTAATGAACAACACGAATTTTCGAAAGAAACAAATAGTGAGCTGACGATAAAGGGAGAAGCATTTAAATATGTTTTGTATCGCTACTTACTCGGTTTTTACCCTTATGCTGTCTGAAATAATGCCAGGAGTAACATGCGAAAGAGGTAAGGATTACATTTATTGTCTTCAATTTGCTCAGTTCTGAAATATTCCTTCATTGAAAAGGAATAGGAGTGAGTGATGGAGTGAGACATACTGCTGTTAAAAATGTTATGCCTTACTCTTTACAATTATGGATTGTATCAGCCCTCTCAATTTCAACGAAGAAGTACAGCAAATCTTACTCTTTCATCATTAAAGTTGTCTCTAAGACGTTTTCCATTACAATTATGGCACTAACCAGACCACCCGTTATGAAATTAATATCATTGCTCGATAAATGTTGCTATACGCAAGAGACCTAAGAACAGGACAACCACGAAACAATTTGGCTGAAAATTTAACCTTAAGAAAAATGCAAAATCAAAGTTATCTTTATCCTCTTCACTTCAACTTAGTCGCGGGGAAAAGCAAACCGACCAAATTCATGGATATTTTATGCAGAATATCCCTTTGAAATATTCATGTGTGTTTTAAAATTTGAAGAGTGTGGTAAATTGCATTAGTGCTTTATTAGAGTAAAAAGGAAGACAGTTCTAGAAATTGCTTAGCATTGATATTCTGGGGAATGTATCTCTATGCGAGCTTTCTCGGAAGAAATTACAAAGGTGAAATGCTTTGATTCAACCTCGAGTAAAAAGGTCACAACTCATGCCAGTAGACTCATGACCTACTTTTCTTTGTAGGACTAAATCTAATGATAACTCTTTTGAATAATTATCTATGGGATGCCTACCTCCAGCGATTGTTCAAAACTAAATTGAGTTCTTGTTTTGCGTCATCTATTGATCTAGAATTTGCTAAGACAAAACAATTTTTTCTTATTTTTATTTTTATGAAAACGTGTAACCAATTTCTAGTTTCTTTCTCAAAGTTTGGCATAGCTTTGATTAATAGATAACAGGACTTGGCGTCGTCCAATTCTGTCTGTAATCATACGAGTGATTAGAAAGGTCATACATTAACAACCAAAGGTACTTTGACCTTATTTGAACAGCCTTGTAAGTTAATTTAAGTTTCAGCAGATAGGCTCCTCTTTCATTGAAAACTATAAATAAACGTTGGTTCAGTTAATAATTAGTTCGATGATTGAATGGGAGTTGAAAGGAAAGAAAATCGAAAGGAAAGGACGAAAGGAAGAACGGACGAACGGACGAACGGACGAACGGACGAACGGACGAACGGACGAACGGACGAACGGACGAACGGACGAACGGACGAACGGACGAACGGACGAACGGACGAACGGACGAACGGACGAACGGACGAACGGACGAACGGACGAACGGACGAACGGACGAACGGACGAACGGACGAACGGACGAAAACGGTGCATGGTTGAATGGATGTGAGGAACCCCTCATAAACGCTACTAGTGTCCTTATTTCTATATTCTATTTAATCAAAGATAAATGACATTGAATTTAATTTATCTTATAGTTCTTACAAATATTTCCCATGCTTTCATAAAAAACGAGCTTCATTACCTGAGTGTTCCTTCGAGCCGGACGTTTTTGGCGACAGACGTCTTTGACTGCACTAGTCAATGTCTTCTTGTTCTTTCGTGCGTCTCCGTTAACCTAGCGCGGAACACAGTAGCCGACGGGAAGTACTGGTGCGAATTACTGTCATCTGATAAATACTTAAACTCTCAAGATTTTAAAGGAAACCTGACGTTTCATCATCTATTCAAAAAGGTAACTTGACTTTGAAAACGAAGAACGAACTGCCTTTCAAGATAAGCTCTGTGTTAAAAGAAATGAATCAAATGTCAGACTGATTTTAAAATTAGTCCTTTAATTAAATGATAATCAATTAGCAGCTGATCGTTCTTCGCATGGTTCAGAAAAAAGCTTTAGCATAATATAGTGCCGCTGAGGTTTCTGATTTTTTGACGGCAGTTTTTGTTGCATCGTCTCTTAGATTTTGTGCATAGATGGCCAAAAATTAAATTAAAAAAATTCACTTGTGATCATTTTATCCTATTTTCGTTGTCAGTCAAATTGTATCTTCACGCCGTGTCAAAATGGAGGAACTTGTGTGGCAAAGTATCAGGACGACACCTTTAACTGTCTTTGTTTAGAGGGCTTTATTGGAGACTATTGTGAAACAGGTAATGAATTAAAACAGTTTGAAATATAGCTGTGATAATTCTATGCTAAAGCTGAGCATTGGTGCTCATTTTGTCGTTTTTGTCCTTGTGGTTGTTGTCTCTTGCACTAATTCCAGGATAAACTAAATCGCAGGTGCCACGTCGTGCAAGCAGCTCTACGAAGCAAAAAAGTAAGTCACAAGTTATTACATTTTCATTCGTTTATTTCCCTCCTTTTAAGATTGATCTTGAGTGTGGTTTCCAGCATTCTGGAGACAGGTTTCCCTTCCTACTGCTCTAAACACGAATAGCATCCCAAACATATTCTAAAGATAATGTTTCTTCATAGAATTTTGTTGCTTTTATGGTTTCAATTCGATTGGGAATTCCTGATAGTTGTACGTAACATCTCTACCAAAAGTAGTTTATGCTGGATACATAGCATTATGAGAGTATGGTTAGCGTTGAGTTATAGTCTGATTATCCATAAGGTTTGACACAACTCAGGTGGCCACCCTACGATTTGGTTCAACACCTACTTCTGTTATGTGTCACGTGGGAGATTTTGGGTGCGGGCCTGGGGCATGGACAACCGTGATGAAGATTGATGGCAATAAGGTAATTGACAATGATGGACGCTCAGTGATATTTCGTTATCCAGTCAGACAACTAATGTTAATGAGAATAAGATGGGCATATTGCGATTAAGATAGGCAAATTTGATATTTAATTGAAACCAAGCTAATATTATCGTGTCAGTGGACACTAGGAAGTGACTGAGAGACCAAGACCAAGAGACTTACCAGTTGAATTACATACAAGTCTAAAAGGAAAGTATTGAGACAAACCAAAACATCCTAAATCGGCGCGATTTTCAGCAATTTTGTTTGTCATTTTCCTTCTTTTAAATGTACATTGTTTGTTCCTTAATTATTTTAGAACACCTTCCACTTCGACTCTGCTTACTGGAGTGATACAAATGAATATAACCTCAACGGAGGTTCAACGAGATTTGACACACAAGAAACCAAACTGCCAACCTACTGGAATACGCCTTTCTCTCAAATCTGTCTTGGTATGAAGATCAACGAGCAGCTTAATTTCGTTGTCCTTACCAAACAAGGTAGCTCTCTGTTCTCACTAATCGCTGACGGGTCTTACCGCGCCACTTCACTTGGTCGTAACACATGGAAATCACTGCTTGGTTCTGAGGGCTCTCTACAGATTGCGTGCAACAGGGAGGGCTTTAACTCAGTGTGTAATACATGTAAAGTTAGAATTGGAATCGTCTCCAATAACGAGTACAGCTGCTTAAGTTGTGATTCAAGAATTGGTTTTGGTGCTGGTGGAAACCCGGATGATTCCAGCACATGTGGTAACGCAGCCACTTGGAGCCCTGACAATGGAGATAGAAACATAAAAGCTATGGGCTACGTATTAGTTCAATAAAATACAAATTGTTGACATGCCCTACCAGTGAGGTGGAAATAAGCAGAGCTTCTATAGGTGCAAATGTCTTTTTCCGATTTGTGAAGCTTCCTTCAGGAAAAATAGTTTATTCGCTTGTCTTTTTTAATTCAATTTATTTTATCCATTTTTTTGCCAGACATTGCAAATATCGGTGCACGTTTCAGGATAGAATTGAAAAATCGCAAATATCGGTGCACGTTTCTGAATATAATTATAAAAAAAGCATCGGAAGAATGATCATGCACCCTTGAATAACATCACAATTATACCGACGACTGATGAGGCATAGATTGTTTTAATTCCTATTAATCTTTTTTGTATGATAAATAAGTTGAAGGAATCACCACCCTCAAACATCACAATAAGCCATATCCAACACCAGTTAGTGAGGCGCCTAACTTAGCAAGCCTATGTAGGTTGTTTTTCAAAGCTAGATAAAAGATAAAACTGATCAGTGGCTACTAAAATAATTGATAGTGTTGAAGAGTTTACGGTCACTTCGCCGCCACAACAAATTCACCAAAATAAACTGTATAATAAATAAGTCGAAGGAGTCTCCCCATCAAAATAAGCCACCGATGGCGATTTGACTTTTCCGTCGTGTCTGTCGTATGAAACTTACATCGAATGAGAGCTAAGATGTAATAGCATATTGCGAATAGGGAAAGGGACTCAGAAGTTATGTGCAGCCTGTCAATTTAGGAACGTTAACTTTAAAATGAAATAAAACTTGTTGATATTAGGAAGATTATGATCAGTTGGCGTAAAGCCTAAGATGTGTGACAAAAAGCGCGCATGAATACAGCGAAGTTTACAGAAACAGACTTAACGTCTTTTCTTTATTTCAAATAATGACGACGTAACATTTAACATAAGTTTTGTCCTTACAGGCAAAACCGTGGTAGGCGATTTGAGGTTAGAAGTTAGAAGTTTCGACATTTTCAACTTTTTATATCGACATGAGCTTTCACCTGAAAATCAGATAACAAACAAAATGTGCGCCGCCATCTTGAATCACAGAGCGGATGGAATTCCTTCATTTCAAACACAAAAATGTGCCTAAAAATGAAGTTTTGTAGCGCTTCAAACAGATGAGCCAAAAAGAAAAGATCTCATCTCACATATTTTTACAGGACAGGACACACGAAGGACCTCTCGAACAAGAAGAAGAGGAGCGCCTTCGGAGCGAGTCGACCAAGCCGAAACTGCGCATGCTTTGGTCGGAGTTCAAACATGGACCGCAAGAGGCGAACGTGACTGCTGACGTTTTGTCACGTGATCCCTTGTAGCCTGCGGTCACTTACATTCAGGAACAAACGTGGGTCTAGAGATCTTCATTATCAACAGGAATTAACAGCAAAAATTCCCCGAATATCGAGGATTTATTTAGATCGCTAAGAACAGACACAGACGATGATTTTAAAAAATCTGTTTTTGAAAAATCATCCCCTTCCAAGGCCAAGCCTTCAACTGTGGTGCATTTCCAATTTTTTTGATTATGTCAACAGGAAATTATCTGACAAATTATTAAGTGCAGTGAGTTCTTTCAAACCCCTCCCTCCATGACCCGCGTTTGTGACATGGGAGTTGAATTGTACTTGCGGGATAAAACGTAATGCCTTACTTAAAACCAGCATACAATTGTGTATCTCCTTCATAGTTTATATTGACTCAGTAAATTACGAAGATCTGAAAAGTTCGAAATTTCTGGGACTTGAGACTTTATATTTTGCCACAAAAGATGGCTTATCTACATAGAGTTAAGGTACATATAACTAATAGCTAACTTGTCGTACTTAACGGCTCGTTTATGTATAGCAAATTACGGGTCAAGTCCTGAGAACGTATAAACTTGGGAGACAAACAGAAGCGTTGTAACTGAATGTATATGCATAAAATTCCTTAGTAAACCTAATAAAAAGGTTTTTTTGCCATATTTCCGCTGATTATGGATAAAATCTTACCATTGACCAAAGTGAATACACTTTTTATTTTCACCAAAAGTAACCAAAAAATCCATCGCTGAGCTATTTTTGGTAGTTTGCGCTCAGAGTGGATGTAACTCCATCCATCCTGATTCGGGACGATGATCGGTAGCTTTGAAACTACTTTATTTAAAGCATTGTTCAATAGAGTTCACTTTTATTAAGCTAGTGACGATTTTAATCTTAAAAGTCAAACTTGGTAAACTTATGTAATACATTTCAAATTGATTCTAATAAATAAGTTTCACTAATCTGTCGCGACAAGTTGAGTGAAGTGAACTATTGTTTGCAAGCAGGAAAAAAAGGTGTTCTACGTTCGTTACAAACCACATTACCCGTTTATTTACAAGCTTTTCAACTCTAGACTAAACTTTCCTAAAATCTAAAATCAGATTCATCAATGTACTCAAGTCTTTTCGTGTTTTAGATTTCCAGAAAAAAAGGAATCATTTTAAGATAAATTACTTGTCGGCCTCTCGTCGCGGTTCATAATAGGTTGCATTTGCCTCTCGATGTCTTGAAGCAGCGTTTTAGTCTTTTTTCGTTATTTATCGGTGTCGGTGCTTCAGTTGCTAAACTGCTAAGCAAATCGGTATTTACGTATCTAGTTGAGGGGAACGGAGACAGTTGGTGAGTTTCTTTCCTCTGTTTGCTGTCGTGATAAGTTTGGTGCTGGTTTTAAGACAATAAATCTGAATTCTTTGATGCCACTAAGAGCACCTAAACACATATGGACACCCGATGGTATTCGCTTTATGGACTGAAATTTGTTATGTTTGCTTTAATAGGCCAGCGTTCAAAATCATGTATCATTTGGATTGTATTGTAACGTCCAAACATTTGATGCAAAATTCAAGGAAATTGCCATCAGAAAATTCTCTTGCGTAAAGAATATTAATGATTCCTAATCCTCTACTAACAGATTTAATCTCAGGAAAAATATCTTAAATAGTGAACAACCTAAGCCATAAGGCAGTAAATATCTACGGTGAAGTGGTTATTGTTCTTTTTTCTCAAATCAATTTAGTTTTTTACTGCACCAAAATATATCCCATTGCTTTGATTTTACGGTTCCCGTTATCTGCCTTCCATAGTCCAGCAGCTTCATTTCCACAAGTGTTAGAGTCATCAGGACCTCCCCCCATACCAAAACCGATCCTGGAATCTGGGGATTGACAATGATGTTCATTATTACCCAAGATGCCAATTCTTGTTTTTGATGCTGCAAGCTGGCTCCATGAATTAAACCCTTCCATGTTGCAGTGGAGCTGTAAAGATGCCTGTGAACCAACCAGTGTCTTCCACGTGTCACGACCCACTGAAGTTGAGCGGTATTGCCCGTCAGCGATCAATGAGTACAGAGAGTCTGCCTGCTTGTTAATAACAATGAAGTTGATCTGTTGGCTGATATTCATACCGAGACAGATCTTGGAGAAGGATGTGTTCCAGTAGGTGATTAACTTGGTCTCCTGTGAATCAAACCCAGTATCTCCTCCAGATGGCATGTATTCAACTTTGTTGCTCCAATACGGTGAATCATAATGAAATGTTCTCTAAAAAATACCAGTGAAAGTTTGCTCATTTCTTTTATTATCTATATGAAAGATGAGCTCTATACATCAACTTAGGTAGCTATTAGGAAATCAAATATTTGCTTTCGTCCTTTTCTGTCCTTATCCTTAGAGTCCATGTGATTACACCTAGATCTTTAAGACCTATCAAGCCGTTTGGTGGATCATTTTCTATCATTCATACATATAAGTTTATTTTAAAAGTCATTACTCTGAGGGGAACATTCTTTCTCCCCCCCTGCAACCGATGGGTTCGCACAATCTTGCTGTGAGGGAACGGTAAGCTAGTGAAAAACTCAAAAAAGGCAATTTATGACGATCCAACCTTGTGTCCATCAATCTTCATTACTGTTGTCCACCCTCCATCGCCACATCCAAAATTTCCCATGTGACAATAAACAAGAAACGCTTTTGAGTCACGGTATAATGTTACCATTCCACTTGAAATTGACCTGTTAAAATTAAGTTAAGCGCAAGTGTGATAGAAAGGAAAGTAATAAATGCATACGGAGATTTTAGTTAAATAAGTGCAAAAAAAAAAAAGAAAAAAAATTGTACTTTAATTTAGCGTGTACAAGTTTGTATTAAAGGTTTCGGTCATAGCAATTAAAACTCTAAAAGAATACCTCTCTTGTTTGTATTATTATAAGATATCAAGAATTGTTTGGTCACCGGGAATACCGACAGTAGTTTCATCTGCTAATAAATTCCTATTTCACAGTTTTCCTTTTTTCGCCTTTGCCTTTTTTTTTAATATGACAAAGATATTGCAGATAGTTTATTAATATGTAAATCTGCTACTCACGTGTTCCTCTCAAACGCCTCTTGACAAGTCGAAGCTATAGAAGATAAAACACCAAATTTATCTGACGTGTGTTTTCTTTCTTAGTCAATGCTATAAAGCTGAGCTAGGACATAAAAGCGTCACCAATTACTCTGTTAGAAAAGAAAGATCCAAAATCATTCCAACCCCTGCTCACAGCTAAATTCCAATACCCTTTGTTGAGCTCAGTCATTCAAATCATCAACTGTTTTCTATTTCGTCTCTGATGACTCTTTTGGTCGCCTTAGTGGCATGGGTGATGCATTAAAAAGTAAAGTTTTTACCCATCTTTGTGCAATTCTCCCCATCGAATCCAGCTTTGCAAGGGCACTCGTATGATCCTATGGTATTGCTGCAGAGAGCATTATCACTGCAATTGTATATTCCCTCGGAACATTCGTCCACATCTCAAAGGCGTAAACAAAAAAATAAAATTGATAATTTTGATAATAATAATACTAACACTATTGAAAATAATAGTAATAATAATAATATTGAGGATGATGATGAAATGATTGTGCGTGTGTATTTAGTTAGGCCTGTTTGCTCTTCTCGAATTTAAAAGGCGAACAAGAACAGTACTTCATGCTCAAACGTAGACGCTGATTTCAACGTAACGACAACAGCACAAAAAAAGTAATCATATCTCATAGTCATATTTTTATATGTACCTTCGTCACAAGTCGGACCCTTAAATCCAGCAGGACACAAGCATCGATAACCCTTGTCAGTAAAACCGCTTTGACAAGGGGCGTTGTTCTTGCACGGACTTTCAAGGCAAGCATTCTGACAAAGAGGAAGTTAATAGGAAGTAATGTATCAATGATAATGAAAATTAACATTTACAGCATCATAGTTATCACCATCATCATCAGCAGATAAATGAATGAACGAATTTTCAGCCAAACTAAGCATGTTCTCCTACATCGAAATTTCAATAAAAGACATTACCTCGGCAGCAACATGAAAAAAATTTTCATCTTCTTTCCAGTCGTCTTTGTGTCTCTCATGAGAAGCATCATTCAGCTCACATTTGTACTTTTCACTTCCATCCGTTCGTTTATCAAGATTAAAGCTGACGCAGTAAGGTTCCATAAAGCACTCTGCTTCACAGAACTTCTTGACTGTGACTTCAGCTATGCGAATTACATGATTTACCAGTCGTTTCCCGTCAAAGGTCTCCTTTGCCTTAAAATCCAAGTGACGGCAACGGTCTTCATCTGCTGAACACATATATTATAAAAGTGGTGAATACAGTAGAACCCCGCTACCTCAAACTCCCAGGAGAAACGGAAAATGTTTCGAGTTAGCGAGGATTCAAGTTATCGGGATCGGTGTCGAATTTCAACTATCCTGCTT